TATTTAAACATTCACTGTATATTTTGATCACACCTTGTAGATGAGACTTATTAGATATTTTTAAGTGCTATCATTTTGTTCAATAATGAAAATTTTAGACAGCCTTCTTTTATGCACTTAGGAATTATGTTCAATATTGCATGAATTGGGCACTTACTTGGTATGAAGAATGTTTTTGCCCCTAATGGATAGCTAGTGTTCCCAAAACGACTTATTGGGTAGTCCATTCTTTCCCCACTGATTTGAAATGTCACCTTTATTACATAATTGCCCTGCATCTGTCTCTGGACTTTAGACTTTGTGGCCTATCTCTGTGCCAGTATCACACTGTGGTTTTAAACTACCTTGGTTTTATTGTGTGTTTGGCTTTGTGATAAATAAATTCTGATTCCACCCCCCACAGCTCAAACATCATTCTTTCTCAGAACTTTTGTTTCTAGTCTTACGTATTTATTCTTCCAGATGAACTTTAGAATAAGGTCGTTGGGTTTCATTTGAAAAATTCAGTTTGGGTTTTGATTTAACTTACATTTACAGATTAATTTGGGGAGATAAAAATTTAGCCTATTATGCCTCTTATTGGTTCCAGAACTTTCAGTGAAATAGCTGAGTTCTTTTTTTTTTTAATTTGGGATATAGTAAATTGACAGATGGTAACACATCTCTGTTATTTTCTGATTCTGATATTGATGGCAACAAATTCACTTAAAAAGTTTATAGTTTTCAATTGCTTAAAACAAAGCATGCAATTGAATTCAGATGGAGAAATGATGGAGGCACACTGGAATTCTGTAAATTCAAATTTATCCTTGTCATTAATAAAATTAGTGACCATTTAAGAAAAGTAGCAGGTTTTCGGTGGCCACACTGATTACAAAGACCCAATCTTAGCTAAAAGTTGTCACCTGTGGCTGATTATTTATGCTGTACGTGTTCCTCAGTACATTTTTAGTAGCCTGTCCCTCCTACTGTATCCTTTGTACTTTATCTAAATCTCCTTTGAGCTTTATCTAACTTTTCTGAATGAAAATGTTCTTTTGTATTCATATTTTCTTTCCCCATCTTTCTTTTTCTCTCCTGCCAGCTCCCTCTGCCACACTCCCCTCATCCCCTTCTGTGCCATTAGCTCTGTATCATACATTCCCTCCGTTTTTCTGATTTTTTTGTGCTTAGCAAATAAATTGCTGAATATTATTCTTAATGCTGGGACTTCTGGGTATCTCTCTTCCATGGGCACATCGCATTTCTGACCTGACTGCTGCTGTTTATCTTCTTTTACCAGGTGTAAAGCATGGTATGATCTTGAAAGGGAGGCATAACTGAATTACAAAACTACTGTTTGGGGTTGGACTGCATTGAAAAAGGCTGCAGTTAAACTCTTTCATAAGTCGCAGTCCTTGTTCACCCAGCCAGATAAACAGTAATATGATCATTATTTGAATAGACGCAGACTAGCTATCCTTGTGATCTGTGAAAACTTTGATCTCTTAATACAGTTTGTTTTCTATTTAAAAAAAAAAATCAACAGGTCAGGTCAGATTCTGTCCATGGATAATTAACAGTCCCTTTAGCTACCAGGAACATGACTAAAGCAAGCTATTCTTCCTTTTTTAGGAAATGGAATTTCATCTAAGTTTCCTCTCTCAGTCATGTCAGACTTTGTTATTGC